AAACTAAGAATGGTTTCATATATTTAACAGTTGAAAAGAAATCACAAGGCGACCAATACTTTGTCACGTGTGAAAATTACGTGAAGTCTCAGTGTTCATCGGTGAAGCTTTCTGGGCACAGCCGTGTCTGGCTTTCACATGTTGTCTGTGGCACTTTTCACGCCAATGGGAGGGTGGAGTATTCACCACAGAGAGTGCCTGGCCTGCACAGCCTGGTCTGCATTTTACATGTGTCCCGACTCTTGCTTCATTATATGCAAAGTCTAGAAAGGATAGATGCAAAGTGTTAGGAGATGGTATCGTGAAGGTTGCTCTTTATTTTCTTATATTTTTCTGAGTTTTTGCACAAACATGTATTACAGTCACCCTCAAAGAAATCAAGCTACGTTTTTAAAGTTAAGGGTCGTTTGTTGTAATAACCAATGCTTATGTCTATTCTTTGCCCTCTGGTTAGAAACACCCAGGCCCTCTTATCCAAAGCCAGTTGTTCATATAGCACTCCAGCTATTAAAAATGATGGATCCTTGGCCGGGCGTGGTGGCTGATGCCTATAATCCCAGCACTTTGGGAGGCCAAGGTGGATGGATCACCTGAGGTCAGGAGTTCGAGACCAGCCTAGCCAACATGGTGAAACCCCGTCTCTACCAGAAAATGCAAAAAAAATTAGCTGGGCGTGGTGGCAGGTGCCTGTAATCCCAGCTGCTTGGGAGGCTGAGACTGGAGAATCCCTTGAACCTGGGAAGTGGAGGTTACAGTGAGCTGAGGTCGCGCCATTGCACTCCAGCCTGCGTGACAGAGTGAGAGTCTGTCTCAAAAAAATGAAAAATAAAATAAAAATGATGGATCCATTGAAGTAATCTATTAAAATTATACATCAGATTTAGTCATTCAAAAATTAACATTCAGACCCATCTCTACCCAGCTGGGAGCTGCAGGGCATCCCTGTGGTTCTGCGTCAGTGCAGAACCTCTGCTGTGGTCCGGAGGGTCTCCTCCAGGCATCCGAACCTTCTTTGTGCCCTGACCCCTTGGCCAGCCTGGGAGAGGCTGGGGACCCCTCTCAGACTAATGTTTAAAAAGCATAAAATGAAATACACAAGGTTAGAAGAGCCATCAGTTAAAGTGCATATGCCAAAATATTAAACATATATTTGTGGCACAGTAAATATAATTTTTTTTTTTTTTTTTTTGAGATGGAGCCTCACTCTGTCACCCAGCCTTCAAGATCTGCCCGCCTCAACCTCCCAAAGTGCTGGGATTACAGGCATCAACCACTGTACCCAGCCGTATAATTCTTCTTATTGATGCATTAAATAATAAGATCGGGCGGTGGGTCTGGTAACTGCCATAATATTGAAGTAGTGTTGGGTATATGTAAAATGTTGGGATAGATACTGCACCAACCATAATTTGACATGAAAACACCTGTGATTTTCTATTCAAAGTCACAGGCACTGCCAGTGAATACTGTGGTTTATTGCCTGTGCTTCTAAATGCTGTCTTCCAGTTGGAGCTTACAGGAAATTAAAATAATGATATATTTCCCAACCAAGTTCACATCTCCCCAAGGAGATGTAGTTGGTTACAGCAGTGATGTTACCACCTCCTTTCTAAAGTAGCCCCTACCTATGCTGGGCGCAGTGGCTCATGCCTGTGATCCCAGCACTTAGGGAGGCCAAGGCAGGCAGATCATTTGAGTTCAGGAGTTCAAGACCAGCCTGACTAACATGGTGAAACCCTGTCTCTACTAAAAATACAAAAATTAGACGGCTGTGATGGCACGTGCCTGTAATCCCAGCTACCCAAGAGGCTGAGGCATGAGAATTGCTTGAACCCAGGAGGCAGAGGTTGCAGTGAGCTGAGATCACTCCACTGCACTCCAGCCTGGGCTACAGAGCAAGACTGTCTCAAAGAAGAAAAAAAAAAGTAGCCCCACCCCCATTGCTCTGTTCCCTGTTCCTGTGTTATTTCTGTTCAGTGCACCTGACTTGATGTGATATGTATTTTTTTTGTTCATCGTCCATCTCTCCTGCTAGAACGTGTGCTCACCGAGGGCAAGGGCATGATGGGTCTTACACTATCCTTGTGCCGGGAGCATCAATAAAGCAGTATTGAATATTGAATGTGGATTGAATGCTGACACTGCGCAGTTTTAATTCTAGTCTGCAGTTATTTGCTTCCTTTTTTTTTTTTTCAGCTTTGGAATTTTTTTTGGGTGAGGGGGAAACTAGAGGTGAAAACTCCCCAGCCCTACCAAGCTGAAGCGTTAGCCCCGCAGTGGCAGTGCTAGTGGGGGGTGCCGTATATGTCGGTATATCTATAGACTGTCTTTGGATCCTGCTTCTTAGAAACTGCAGATGTTTTGGTGGCAGCGAAGGGCCACCCTCCTGATGGTGGCTGGTTACAGTGGGTCAAGAGTGCCGCAGTTATAACCTGGTTTGGCTCTTTGATGGCATCTGAGGTCATGTGGGGCTTGCACACCAATATTCAACATTTGCCAAGAGGTTTTTTAGATGACTGTCTTTTAAACTGGGCACAAGGTGTGACTATTCTCATAACTTACATGAAGTTTGATATTGGAACATAGACTTCAAATGAATCACTGCATCATATAGTTCAAGTTTATTAAATCTCTAAAATGCCACATTTCTGTGTTCCCTTATATCTGCCTCTCCCCCTTTCCCACTCCTGACTTCTCCATCATGAGCCCCCGTGAAGCACCCTGAATTAGGGAGACGCAGGAAGCGCTCTGAAAGGCACATTCACTGTCAGTGTGGGAAGCAGGAGGCCCCTCATCTTCACGGCAGGCCCCAGGCCTGTGACCCCTGTCCCCGAGGGAATCTCGAGTATCTTGTCATGCCACCAGGGTTGGTGGCATCTGTGGGGTGGGGGAGAGAGCTCCCCGAGGCGGCCCGCTTTGCTGGGGGCATCCTGGGGGCTCAGCCGTATCCTCACTGCATGCGCTGCTCAGTGTTGGCTTCCGATGTGCCCTCGTGGTCTCCAGATGCCTCCCTCTACGGAGCCGCTGCTCTTGTTGACGCTCTCGGTTTCCTTTTTCTGCTGGCTGACATGCTCTCATTTCACGGAGCCCTGGTCCTGTAACCAGGAAGACACTTCCTTCTGCAGGGTCCTCCTCTCCTCCAGAGACCTTGGCTACACTGAGGAGCCTGACTTTAGCAGGGCCTGTGCGTAGGCGCCAGGCCTTCCCCGGCTGAGCAGGCCCTGTGCTCCTTCTGGCTCCTGCTCCCAGGCCTCGCTGGGTTTCAGCGTCCAGCACAAACTCCCTGCCAGCTCGGCAGTGGCCAGGCCCAGTCACTGCTACTTCTAGGTCTGGATGGCAGCCTGGGAAGCCCAGCCTTGACTGTGGCGGCCTCTTCTGGGTTCATTGGACAGTGTCGGCTCGCCACATGGTTGGCTCGCCTCTGCAGATTGGCCGGTCTGCCACCCTGGGGCCACCAGGGCCTGTGCCAGGGTGCACAGGGATATGTCTGGTCAGGAATCATTTGGGTCCACAAACTGCTGCTTATCATTTTCCCATCCCTGCTTGGAACCTGGTCCTCTTTGAGCTGACCTGGTGGCCCCGGGCCCCCTCCTGGGGCATTGTGCATGTGCTGTTCCTCCCACGGCTGAGTGCTCCCTTGGACTTGGTCTTTGTCTTCTCCAACATCTGCTGTTCTCATCAGAGGCCCTTGCTGCACTGTCCCGGCATCTCTGCCAAAGCTCAGCCTCTGGGGCCACCAGCCCCTCCTGCCTTGCCATCTTCTCCAGGCCCAGATGGCCATGTTCCTTGACCCCATCCCCGCCCTCCCTTTCCTCCTCTCTGGCTGTGGTTCCATGGCCCATTGGGATCATCCCTTACCTTGGCTCTCTGGTCCCCCTGAAATTGCCTGGGGAGCCTGCAGGACCTCCCGGGTTCAGCCCAGCTCTCCAGCTTCTGTGATTCTGCTTGCGACGAGCTGGCCCAGCTGGAGAAAAGCATTCAACAGCTGGCTTGTCTCCTTTCCCCACAAATGAGCACAGACCCCAGTGGGCCCAGGCACCGCGTTTCCACACCCCTAAATGCCACATCACACCGCTTACTCGCTGCCAGCACCTCCTCCCCAGCCCAACTCTCAGCAGGCCCCCTTTCTTCTGTTTCACCCAGAAAATAGGAGCTTTCCAAAAAGACCAGAGGCTTCCTGGCTAACGGGCAGTGGCTGTGCTTCTGGCTCCAGCCCCCGCCCACTTCCTGCCTTCCTGCTAAAGGGCGTTCCTCCTGTACCCAAGCACAGTCTCTCTGCCAGATATTCTCACCATCTTCCAGACATGGTGGAATTGCTCCAGGCAATACATTGTGTCTTCAAATCATTTCAAAGGCAGATCCCCTGCTGTGCACAGCATTCCTCCTGTACATGGCTTCAGGCTGCACCCTTAGCGTGGAGGGAATGCAGCATTGGTGTGCGGGACTGGGCAGCGGCGGGGGAGAGGGGGGAGTGTCATGGTATCAGTTGCGTCTTGAAACAGAAACCTGGTTAACCTAGAAACTGACCTCTACCTCCACCAGGCGCTTCCTGAAGCCAGTGACACCTCTGTCTGCTGCCATGTAACTGCTCACATGTAAAAGTGGCTGGAGACTGAAAACGTAGTTGACAATAGGCTGGGCACAGTGGCTCACGCCTGTAATCCCAGAACTTTGGGAGGCCAAGGCGGGTGAATTGCTTGACCTAGGAGTTCAAGACCAACTTGGGCAACATGGCAAAACCCCATCTCTACAAAAAATAAAAACAATTTAGTCCCACCTGCTCAGGAGGCCAAGGTGGGAGGGTGACCTCAGCTGGGGGAGGTCAGGGCTGCAGTGAGCTGTGATCATGCTCCTGCCCTCTGGCCTGGGCAACAGTAAGACCCATCTCAAAAAAACTTGAAGATGAAGTCCACTCTCCTCGCCGACCTTCCCAATCCTTCCTTACGTTTTAGACATATCAGCCTGCCCTGCCATGTGCTAAAGGACTTCTCTCTCCCCAGGACATGGGCAAGTTTTGCCTCACATACGAAGCCTCCATGACCCGGCTCTTCCGAGAGGGGAGGACGGAGACGGTGCGCTCCTGCACCACTGAGTCGTGTGACTTCGTGCGGGCCATGGTGGACCCAGCCCAGACGGTAATGCACCATCAGGCTGTGGGCACAGCGTGCTTGTCACGCTTCCCTAAAAGACATCTGGAGGCTGTCACTCCAGCTTCTCTGATCGCGTCATTCCCGTACCTTCTTCTTCAGGGATGCTCATTTCAGCTTCTTCCCTCTGCCCCTTTCAAGGGAACAAAAAGTATTAAAAGGTAAAGGTAGGGACAGGTACAGGGACACATGTTACAAATAATCCTTCTCCAAATCATCTTCTACTTCCTGAGAGCCTTTAAATTAGACCAGGACACAGCAGTGAGGAAGGGTAGCAGATGGCTTCGTCAGAACTGGACAGGTAGTTGGCATCAGGGTAGGCGAGCAGTGACTGTTGCATGGAAACCTTGCATTGATTATTAGAGCTGTTGCCATGCTGGGCCCCAAGTGCCAGGCTGGGGCCTGGGGGCCTTCTGTACACTGTCCTTTAAGTTCTTAGCTGTGGTCCTGAGAAGTGTCATCATTTCCATAGACAAAGAAACAGAGGCCTAGATGAATTCGGCAGCTGCTGGGCCACTCAGCTCATAAGTGGCCGAGGTCAGACCAGGGCCACTGGGTCCACCTGACCCCAGCGTGCTGGTGCTTCCTCCTGACCCCCGGGAGACACACAGACCAGGGTTCTTGTTTCCGAGACAAACTTCATTCTGGAAAGGCTGTCAGCGTGGGCATGGTGGCTCATGCCTGTAATCCCAGCACTTTGAGAGGCCTAGGCAGGCAGATTACCTGAGCTCAGGAGTTTGAAACCACCCTGGGCAACATGGTGAAATGCTGTTTCTGCCAAAAATGTAGAAAAAAAATTAGCCAGGTGTCGTGGCAGGCACCTGTAGTCCCAACTACTTGGGAGGCTGAGGCGGGAGAATTGCTTGAACCCGGGAGGTGGAGTTTGCAGTGCCTCCTGCCTCAGCCTCCCAAGTAGCTGGGATTACAGGCGCCAGCCACCACGCTCGGCTAATTCTTGTGTTTTTAGTAAGACAGAGTTTTGCCATGTTGGCAAGGCTGGTCTTAAACTCCGGACGTCAGGTGATCCACCCACCTCAGCCTCCGAAAGTGCTGGGATTACAGACATGAACCACTGGGCCTGGCCTCCCTTCATTTTGAAACTTAGATCCATAACCGGTCAACTTGAGACAAGCGTCATATGTCCTTCCTGCCTTCTCACTCAGGTGGAACAGAGGCTGAAATTGTTCAAGTTGGCATCTGAGAAGCATCAGCTGATGTATCGCCTTGCCATGACTGGCTCTGGGATCGATCGTCACCTCTTCTGCCTTTATGTGGTGTCTAAATATCTCGCTGTGGAGTCCCCTTTCCTCAAGGAAGTAAGCCTCTTCCTCTTCTTCAGTCAGTTTTATTGGCAAGACCAAAACTTAGTAAATTAGTACAATCTTACACTAATTTGTTTTAATGGCAGAATGGGCATTTTTTAAACAAACAGGTCTGTGGGCGTAGCAGTCATAAAATAGGAAATCTGAGCAGCAGTGTTAGTACTGCGTTTCTTCAATAACTTGGCACGCTTTGCTGTCAGATGTAGCCCCCTGACTTAATAGACCTGAAGACCTTGAGAGCTGAGGTCAGAGTGAAATGCATGGAAGTAACTAGGTAGTGATGAGCTGTGAGTACTTACACCTTTGTTTTTAAAAATCATTTATTTTAGTGTAAGTTTAGGAAATGTATTACTATTATTTTTTGAGATAGGGTCTCACAGTGTTGCCCAGGCTGCTTTCAAACTCCTAGGTGCCAACAGTTCTTCCTCCTTAGCCTTCTGAGTAGCTGATATATGCCACTGCACCCAGCTCAAATCTAATTTAATTTTTATTTATTATTATTATTTTTTTTTCTGGAGACGGAGTGTCACTCTGTCGGCCACGCTGGAGTGTGGTGGATCTCTACTCACTACAACCTCTGCCTCCCAGATTCAAGCAATTCTCCTGCCTCAGCCTCCCAAGTAGCTGGGGCTACAGGCGCACACCGCCACTCCTGGCTAGTGTGTGTGTGTGTGTGTGTGTGTGTGTGTGTGTGTGTTTTAGCAGAGACAGGTTTTGCCGTGTTGCCCAGGCTGGTGTCAAACTCCTGAGCTCAGGCAATCCACCCGCCTCGGTCTGCCAAAGTGCAGGGATTACAGACCTAAGCCACTGGCAAATTTAATTTTTAATAGTGGCTGTATTTCACAGCCAGCTTGAAAATTCTCTGAAAATTTGGCAGTTGGCTCACGGGAGTTGGTACAGTCTGACATGTCTGCCCGTTCTGAATCTTAGTCGCTGTATCTGCTGCCTTCACTGTCTGAGACACTATTTGCTGTGGTAAGCACGCGCGCGTACACACACACACACACACACACACACACACACATCCTCGCCCGCACTTCCTGCACTAGTCTGGGGGCCACGCCCACCCTGCATCCTCTCTGCAGATGCGCTGCCCAAGCCAACAAGGCCTTCAGAGACACAGACTTACGGTGTCTGGAACAATCAAAAGACCAAGCCAGGCTTTTCTTGTCTTCCCAAGGCGACTCCTGAGGGACGGAAGAGGAGGGGATTAGGAAAAGCGTTGTTGGAATATTTCCCTGTTTGACTCAACAGGTTTTATCTGAGCCTTGGAGATTATCAACAAGCCAGACCCCTCAGCAGCAAGTGGAGCTGTTTGACTTGGAGAGGAACCCGGAGTACGTGTCTAGCGGAGGGGGCTTTGGACCGGTGAGTGCAGCGGGGCTGGGCGAGGTGCAGTGGGGTGTGGCGATGGCATGGGTGATGGGGAGGGATGGGCCTGTCTCCATTCTGGGCGCCCCCGTTACCTTGCGGCTCTACTGCCGTAAAGGAGTGGCTGCTGATCACTGCTGTGGATGTCCTTAACAGTCTTGCACTTTCTTTTTTTTTTTTTTTTTTTTTGAGACAAGGTCTGGCTCTGTCACCCAGCCTGGAGGTCAGTAGCATGTTCACAGCTTGTGGCAGCCTCAGCATTCCCCATCTCAGGTGATCCTCCCACCTTGGCCTCCTGAGTAGCTGGGACTACAAGTGCATGCCACGATGCCCAGCCAATTTTTTATTTTTTTCTATTTTTTGTAGAGACAGCGTTTCGCCATGTTGCCCAGTCTGGTCTCAAATGTCTGGGCTCTAGTGACCTGCCTGCCTCAGCCTCCCAAAGTGCTGGGATTACGAGGAGGAACCACCAAGCCCAGCCATTATTACATTTAGAACATGAGAAAGTTCTGGCCAGGCGCTGTTGCTCACGCCTATAATCCCAGCACTTTGGGATGCTGAGGTGGGCAGATCACCTGAGGTCGGGAGTTTGAGACCAGCCTGACCAACATGGAGAAACCCCATCTCTACTAAAAATACAAAAATTAGCCAGGTGTGGTATGCATGCCTGTAATCCCAGGTGTGGTATGCATGCCTATACTCGGGAGGCTGAGGCAGGAGGATCGCCTGAACCCAGGAGGCAGAGGTTGCGGTGAGCCGAGATCATGCCATTGCATTGCAGCCTGGGCAACAAGAGTGAAACTCTGTTGCAGGGAAAAATAAAACAAAAAGAGAGAAACATTAGAGAGTCCCTTTTTCACGTCATCTCATTTCCCAGCAAAAATTCAAACTCGCTTGTCTTCCAGGTTGCTGACGACGGCTATGGTGTGTCATACATCCTTGTGGGAGAGAACCTCATCAATTTCCACATTTCCTCCAAGTTCTCTTGCCCTGAGACGGTACATATGAAAAGAAGTTTCTTTTTCTGAAGATGGGCTATTTTTACTTTTTTCTTTTTAAGGGAATACATCTTTCATTTTACAAAAAAATTCACTTCAACTGTGTACGTTTGCTTGGTTTGGGCAGTTTCACGTAAATGGACTTTAAAAAAAATTTTTAATGAAAAATATTTTTTTTACAGGCAGGGTCTCCCCACGTTTCCCAGGCTAGTCTCAAACTCCTGGGCTCACACGATCCTTTTACCTCAGCCTCCCAAAGTGTTGGGATTAACAGGCTTCAGCCACTATGCCCCACCATAAATGAATTTCAAAATTCTCGTTACCTAGTTTTAAAGAAACATATCTTGGCCAGGCTTGGTGGCTCACACCTGTAATCCCAGCACTTTGGAGGCCAAGGCAGGCTAATCATTTCAGGTGAGTAGTTTGAGACCAGCCTGGCCAACATGGTAAAACCCCGTCTCTACTAAAAATACAGAAATTAGCTGGCATGGTGGCACACGCCTGTAATCCTAGCTACTGGGGAGGCTGAGGCAGGAGAATCACTAGAACCCGGGAGGCAGAGGTTGCAGTGAGCCAAGATCGTGCCACTGCACTCCAGCCTGGGTGACAGAGCGAGACTCTGTCTCAGGAAAATAGAAAGGAAACGTATCTCATGGTTTAACATGTTTACCTCTGTTGGCAGCAGAGGTTTTGAAGCTTAATGTTGGAGTGCTGCTGTAACTTTCAGACTCCTTAACGCTTGGAAGGTGAACTAAGAATAATGGGTGCACACTAAGAAATCTGCGTACTCAGCAGAGCTTGGGACCCCGGCTTCCTCTGTGGATAGAACAAGGGACCCCCTCCCTCGTGTCGCACATTGCCCTTGTTTATATTCTGCTTTCCTCGTTGTACGTAGCCTGGCAAGCCATGCCACCGTCACTGTTCACAGGAAGTTGGGGTTCATTTGTTTGTTGTGGTTTTCTTTTGCTGATTGTTTTAGACAGAGTCTCACTCTGTCACTCAGGCTAGAGTGCAATGGTGCGATCTCGGCTCACTGCAGCATCAGCCTCCTGGGCTCAGGGGATCCTCCTGCCTCAGCCTCCTGAGTAGCTGGGACTACAGGCGAGGACCACCATGCCTGGCTAGTTTTTTTGTATTTTTTGTAGAAATGGGGTTTCACTATGTTGCCCAGGCTGGTCTTTGAACTCCTGGGCTCAAGCGATCCTCCCAGCTCTGCCTTCCAGAGTGCTGGGATTATAGGCGTGAGCCACCATGCTTGGGCTGGTGGTTGTGTTTTCTGTGAGATAAATGCATTGGCATTTGGGGAAGGCATAGATCAAAAACGCACTTGCACAAACATGTCAGGTGTCATCTCCTTATTCTCAGCATTTCTCCAGAATGTCTACGTTAGGCTTTAAGACATTAGGTCCGCTCTTCGAGAACTGGCAGAAAGGGATTTAAATTAAACTTTGGGTCAGATTGCAAATGAAAAAGGTTGAAATGTGGGGATGTCCATGTTTTAATACGTTTTTGTTTTTAAATTGAAGGATTCTCATCGCTTTGGAAAGCACCTGAGAGAAGCAATGACTGACATCATCACTTTGTTCAGGCTCGGTTCTAATTCCAAAAAGTAATTCCACTGGAGCTGCTGTGAAGGAAGACAGGCTCCTCTGATACAAACCAAATGAAAAGTAGGCATTATCCTGATCCTAGTTCGGGATGAAAAATTGCTCTTACGAAAACTCAGAAGCTTTCCTTCCAGAAAAGTTGGGTGTTTTTGTTTTCCTAGAACAGAGTCTTGACCCTGTGAAGCGCAACCCCACTACTTCCAGATCACCCTCCCTTGGGGGACATTTGATAAAGGCTCCCCTGAGGTCTTCACATCGGCTGCTGTTTATAAAGAGATTAAATCTTGCTGGGTTAATTAAGGAATTAGTAGGGTGGTGGCTTCATACACATTGGAAATGGAAACAGTGCACTTTCTCAGCGGCAACTGAAAGCCTACTATTGAAGGGCATTTAGCGTCATCCAGGCAGTGTAAGCCTGCGTTGTGTCAAAAGACAAATGTGTTGTCCAAGCTGGTGGTGTCTGCAGTCGTAGCTAACACATCTGGAATGCACTAACCAAAATGACATGCTTTGGAGACCTGCTCTTGTCCCCATGGGTGACTGTCCCTGTCCGGTCCAGTACCCTGTGTTTGCCTCTCCACATTCGAAGCAAGCAGGAAGCAGCGCCTTTAGTTTCACTGACCTTGTATGTCTTCGTGTCTTCACAACCCAGTGCCTTAAAAATGACAGGCCCTAAATGTAAAGGAGATGGAGTGAAAGATGTATTTTGTGGCGTCTTTGGGTGGAACTGTGGGTATACTGTTCCCTTCACAATTGACCAAGTATGGATAACCCTCAGTAAGCGTTTGCTCCACCCCACCAGACCCTCCCCATTCAGAAGGACCTGTTCCTTCCTAGGGCAGCTGGGCTGGACTCCCCCCTCCCCACCCCCGACATCGTCATCATAAGCAACAAAAGAAATAACAGGCATGTGTCAGAAAAAGGGCGTTCGGGAATCCACTCAGGAATAAAATGTGAGACGTGCCTCAGGGCGATGCCTTTCCCAAAGTGGCAGCAAGGAGGGCAGGGCATTGGCCACTGAGCAGGGACCAGCACGTGAGGAAGGGGAGGGCAGCCCCCATGGTGAGGACAGAGTGGCTCCACGACCTAGGGGATTGTCCAGCCACCCTGCCAGGGGAAGGACTCACTGGAGGGTGGTGGAGACAGTCTGCTGGCTTAGCTTGGTGACCAGCCAAGGTGTCTCTAGTGAGGGTGCTAGGTGAACTCAGCCTGTCCTTCAGATAGGAGTGCCTTCACGAAAGCGTCTCATTGACCGCAAAGCAATTACGCACTGAGTCATCTTCAGTATTTAGTGCAAAAACGAAGCATCATGGAATGAAATTCCCACAAGCTTAGCTGTCCATTGTTTTAAATTGTATATTTATTTTTCTGACCACTTTGTTCTAGTTGGGCCTGCCTCCTTCAGAGTCCTGCACACGACAGTACAACCGTGTGAGCAGAACTGTTGGAGGTGATGGAAGGTGCTTGCCGGAGAGCACGTGCATTTTTGTTTGTTTTTCTTTTTTTTTTCAGACAGAGTTTCCCTCTCGTTGCCCAGGCTGGAGAGTAGTGGTGCAATCTTGGCTCACTACAACCTCCAACTCCTGGGTTCAGCAATTCTCCTGTCTCAGCCTCCCGAGTAGCTGGGATTACAGGTGCCTGCCACCACACCCACCCAATTTTTGTATTTTTAGTAGAGACGGGGTTTCATCATATTGGTCAGGCTGGTGTCTCAAACTCCTGACCTCAGGTGATCCAGCCGCCTCGAACTCCCAATGTGCTGGTATTACAGGCATGAGCCACCGCATCTGGCCCACATGCATGTTTTATGTATGTATACTTTGTGATGTTAAAAACACCACCTACATGGGCCAAAGATTTTTCTTCTCCTGAAAGCAAGAAATAAAAACAAAAGCAAAAACAAAACAACAACAAAAGCCCCTGATTGTCCAAGGTGTACAGTCAATCAGGCTGGGGGGATGAAGCTCCCTCTGCCTGGGGCAAGTGTAGCACTTCCTGCCCATAGCCGGCAGCCAGTGTCAGTCCCTATCAGAGCCAGCTAGATCATGCACTATTGACCACTGAGCAATCTGTGTTACCGGAGGGTTCACACAGGAACTTGAGTGTAGACATGTGAGTGCTTACACATAGTTGGGTTTCTCTCTCAGGTTTTAAACGTTTCAAATGTAATTGTTGCTCATCAGTGCAGTTATCAATGCAATTTGTTCCTTGAGGGGAGGAAGAATGGGGTTTTATTGTACTTGTCGAAGGGGCGTGGTAAGAGTATTATGTATTTAATTTAATTTGGAACAAATCATTGCCTTAACGCAGCCATGGTTTGAATTTGTTATCTTGGGCTGACCGGTGCATGTAAATACAATATGCGCTTTGGATGTAAATCTTAGAAATGCAGTGTGAATGTAGGTGATCATTAATAAAACATTAACCCCAGTCTACTACAAGATTTACTTGTCTCTTTTGTTATGTTAATTAAGGGAATTATAAGTCAAGGACAAGTTCAGATACTTGAGACGAAGTAGAAAGTCTGAGCAGATGGAAACAAGGCCTTGGAGCGGACAGTGGACATTGCCAAGTTCATGTACTGGGCTGGAAAGAAAAGCCTGTTGATTTTCACCTGATACACATTTATTAGCCCATTCCTTTGCCTCAGTGCTGAGAACAGTGCCTGGCATATAGTAGATGCTCAATAAATATGTTAAAGGAATGCATGAATTCCATTTTTCTGTTTTTTCTTGAGCACTTATATTAGGCCATTCTCACATTGCTATAAAGAAATGGCTGAGACTGGGTAATTTATAAGAGGTTTCATTGGCTCTCACTTCTGCAGGCTGCACAGGAAGCATGGAGGCATCTGCTTCTGGGGAGGCCTCAAGGAGATTTTCACTCATAGTGGAAGACAAGGGGGAGCAGGCATTCCATATGGCAAAAGCAGGGTGGAGAGGAGGGAGAGGAGAGGAGAGGCGAGGGGAGGGGACCAGAGCTATACACTTGCAAACGGCCAGATCTCACAGGAAGCTTGCACTCTATGGTGAGGACAGTAGCAAGAGGACTGCTTCATGAGAAATGCACGCCCATGATCCAGTCACTTCCCGCCAGGCCCCACGTCCAACATGAGGGATTACAAGTGAACGAGATCTGGGTGGGTATACAGATGCAAACCATATCAGGGCCTGTTCTAGGCACTTGGGAGACAGCAGTGACCCAGCCAGGTTCTGGCTGTCACATCAGTGCCTTTTCACATGGCTGTAAAGAACTACTTGAGACTGGGTAAGTATAAAGGAAAGTCGGTCAATTGACTCCGTTCTGCATGGCTGGGGAGGCCTCAGGAAACTTAGAATCTGGCAGAAGGTGAAGGGAAAGCAAGGAACCAATCTTACATGGCGGTAGAGGAGCGAGAGCAAGGGGGAAGTGCCAAACACTTTTAAACCATCAGATCTTGTGAAAACACAAGGACAGCATGGGGGAAACTGCCTCCATGACCCAATCACCTCCCACCAGGTTCCTCCCTTGACACATAGGGATTGCAATTCAAGATGAGCCAAACCATATTACAGAGGAAAAAGAGAACGAGCCAACCAGTTGAAGGATCTTAAGTGTTCTGAGGCAACTAAGAGGATCATCGGGAGGGGGTGGTGGCTGGCGGGAGGGTGACCCACTTAGAGTGGGTTGAGCTGAGAGCTGAGAGACCCCACAGAGCCAGCCTGGTCCGTGCAGCGAGGCAGCGAGTGTCTAGAAGCAGCAGGTGCACAGCCTCCAGGCTGGATGGCAACCTGTGGGCGACCCCCGCAGCTGGCTGGGTACACCTGGCATGGTGCCGCTCAGCAGACGTCTGATTCTGATTAGTAAACGAATGGTGCAATCTTGTGGGTTGTTGTCTTGCTTGGGCCACTCACGCGATGCGTGATTCTTGGGCTTTTCAATTTATTATTATTTTTCTTCTTTTTATTTATTTACTTTTGCTTTGGTGAGGTGCTTTTTTTTTTTTTTTTTTTTTTTTTTTTTTTTTTTTTTTTTTTTTTTCTTTTTTGAGATGGAATTTTGCTTTTCTTGCCAAGGCTGGAGTGCAATGGTGCGATCTCAACTCACTACAACCTCTGCCTCCCAAGTTCAAGCAATTCTCTTGCATCAGCCTCACAAGTAGCTGGGATTAGAGGTGTGTAACACCACACCTGGCTAATTTTGTATTTTTAGTAGAGACAAGGTTTCACCATGTTGGTCAGGCTGTCCTTGACCTCCTGACCTCTAGTGATCTGCCCACCTCAGCCACCCAAAGTGCTGGGATTACAAGCATGAGTCACTGTGCCCAGCCCCGGCTCCTCAATTTATATCAGCTGCCTTCTAGATCCCTGCAATTTGGAAACACTAAGTTGGATCCTCAGTCCTGCCGTTAAACTCTACTCAAGATGATGTGATTATTCCAGCCATAAAATGAGAGTAAGA